CAACATTTAGTGCCTTGACTCTAGCTTCGAAGATCCGCCGCTTGCTGCACAAATACGTTGCGCATGAGAGCCTCAGGGTTGCTGCCAGGCTAAGCTCTGCTGAACTGAGTAGATCCCTGTCAGGGTCAAGACTGAGGTCTAACACCTGCCCTTTCCAGTCTGCTTTTAGCGCCTTTGCATTGCCACCAAGAGTCTCTATCGAAGGAGAAAAATCTTGGATGGAGCTATAGTCGATATCGTCCCGATTAGTTCCTATAGTGCGAGCTTGCTTCGCGCTTGATGGCGGGAGGTCAAAACTCTCAAGAATTGTCTGCTTTGGTGTAGACTTCGGTGTTCGCTTTACTCTAGAGGCCCGTTGAACACGAGGCTGTGCAGCCAGCGCCCTTTTCGCTGGTGCTGGTGCCAGTGTCTTCAACCTGGACTCGATTGACCGTGGGCGACATCGGTTCATCAGTAACAACTGACGCTCTAATGTCTCTCGCTCCTCTTTGGCCCATGCTGCTGGATTGCGATTAAATTGCGAAGATACGATCGGTACGCATGAAAGAGCTAGAAGATACTCGTCGCGCGTCGGCTTATTTAGTTTGTTCTCGAACATCGCCATGTGAGAATTGATATGTTGGTTGACCAACGCTTCCGCGGTGTTGGGAAGCATGGGCCCAAACAGAGGTTCGTCAGTGGCAATGTCATTTATAGATTCATGTCGGGGGAATAGAAGAGGATCTCTGGAAGTGCCAACAGCATCTTTGTCAAATTGTTCGGAGACATATGATTTCCTCTTTTTAGTTCCAGCATAGGGCGTAACAGGCGGGGATGGCAAATCCATTTCTGATTGAGTACGCTTCCGATTGCCTGGAATAGGAGGAAGTTCCATACTATGACTATATGCCGGATCCTGCGACAGTGTGAAACTGGACATCGTAGTCGGATTGAAGACCTCCAGAGGTTTCGACTCTGGAGGCGACATCAGACTGGAAACGGATGGGAGACGACTCATTTTGGCCTTATCGCTTGGTTTTAGCGATGAGGCAGTAGTGAGTGAGGTCATCAAGGAGAAAGATTCCCAAGCCCCGGTCACAGGCACGGGCAAGGGTGAGTCAAAGTTTAGGGTTTAGGGAAAATGTTGGTGAAAGCAGAAATCACTGCTTTTAAGGTCAGCCCTGGGTAAATGTAATCTTCGAGTACAAGGCGGAAAGGTGCTATGGATATTGATAGCGTGTTAATGGAAGTCAATGGAATTGAGACCTGATCAATGCTGGCAAAACACACGTGCTGTTGATTTGTCAGGGCTCCCTCTTTGTCTGGTGGCAATAAGCAGGTATGATTTGGGTCTCGGCGATAAGGCTCACAATGGCCGAGATGAATGGATACTAAGTATAAGGCGAGGACAAATATTTCCTGCTGTTGCCTTGCGCTATGGGAAGGGGAAAAGGGTTCTCAAAGAGGGCTCACGAGATCTTTAAACCGGCGGAATTGATCTTTCTTACTTCCTGTGAACCCCTTTTCCAAAAACAGGCTAAGGTAAGTATGAGTCAACGCGCCGATGGCTGGGGGCTGAGGGACTAATAGAAGCAAATTCAGCAGCGCTCATGGGATTGCGGGGTTGGCGCGTGGCGGCATTGGGAGGCAAATATTTGATGTAGAGCCAGTAACTTGGTCTTTGATAGTCAGGAAGCTGATTGTGTGGAGGCTGTGAACCTGATGACCTGCAGAATTCAGGAGCATAAATCACTTATCACTGATATGTTATGTGTCACTACACTCGCACGTTAATAGCAGAAACGATGATGCTATGGGGCATACCATATGATGGGGCGGTCGGTCGATGATCTGCCACATGACGACAACCACCTTGAAAAAGCGGGGTCATCATTGCTGGTCATATGTACTGTACTCTGTACTGTACCTTGTAATTTTAGAAAATGTGTGTGCGCCTGAAGCTTTCACTTCAACTCGATGCTTTTTCTGATTGGGCCCACTTCCAGTGAGGGGCAATGAATCCACTTGGCGGTGTGGGTGGTACCCGACAAAGTATGCATCATCTGAGCTGATTGGCGTACTCGCCGGGCTGCAGGTTTACTTAGGTTTCAAAATATGTACAGAGTACGGAGTAAGTAAGTAGTTATTGGGCTACGAACCCACAAATGATCATTAAAAGTTATTCCTCTGCTACTCATAATACTCGTACCATGTACTATGAGCATGTACTCAGTATATCAGACGAAGGCTCCAATCACGAGTTCTTTCGGTGATAGAGAAACCACGTGAATAGATTTATTGTAACTGGAATGTACAAGTATATCTATTCGTATGATTAAAAAGCTTGCTAAAGGATGCCATCGCAGCTCGAGAATCTATGTATATTGTCTCACAGGCAATTACTGAGCATGGGTTGCCCCGGGACCAGGATGAAAGACGAGCTAGAAAGTCTAGGTTATACATTCATGGTATAACTATATGTATATGTTCTGGATACCGTTTGACTAGATACACGTAATGGGTACATACATTTGATCTAAGAGGTATAATGCTAGATAATTGACAAGTAAGAATATCGCTTATAATGTTCGTCCAGGCATTCGTTGGCGGCTGACTTCGTAATCACCGAGCATTATCGCAGCCTGTGCATGTTAGGTAGTTCAAGAAGGTTTGGTGCTCTGGGCTCTGCAATCTTAGTTGGTAATTGACACAGTAAAATTGCCAATTTCAACAACAACCGCGGCCAACAAGGTGGAAGAGAACCTTCAAGATTTGGGTAATGTATCTGCTTTCTTCATCTTCACAATCTCATCAATTAGTTGGACATTAAGTAATGCCTGTCGGGCTGCCTCGTCCCCTGCGATCGCCTTGTTGGTACCCTGGCCGGAACCGAGATGCTTGTTGTGCCAGCCCCATCCGGTAAGATATACCCCAACATAGAAGAGCTGCGTCCCCTTTCCTTGCGGCGAGGGAGCGCGTTCATCAGCGTAGCGAAGCTTGACGCCCTTTCCCATGATCTTCTTAGCAAGCGCTTCCTTGGCATGCAAAGTAGATCTTTGGTCGCCAAGTCGCTCAAGCATGGGCAACCACAGCTTTGTCAACCATTCTTCAGCTATACCATAGCCGTCGCTTGGACTAGATAATACAAGACCCGCGACATATGCTTCGAAAATGTCCGCCTTTGTTTTTGTCCACCTTTTTGGTTGATCCGCGTAGTGCGACGGCACAGAGGCTTTGGTGTCAAATCCATATCTTGTTGCAAACTCGGCTAAAGTATCATTTCTTACAAGTGTCTCACGGATCTGCGATATTCGACCAGAGGATATATCCTGAAACCTGTCCCAAATAAGTCTCGTGGATATGATTTCGATGTACGCATCGCCAAGGACTTCAAGGCGATCGTAAGTGGCGCCGATGTCATTCTTCATGCCTGGATGCGTGAAAACCGCGTTTCGAAGGGCGCTATCCGAGATCCAAGGCAGATCCGGGAGCTGGGAATTATGCTGGTTTGCTATAATCTGGATATTCTGATCCTCTGAATTGTTGGATGAAGGAACAAGGACTTCTTCGTGACATAGGGCAGCATCGAGCTCTGTCAGAAGCCTCATGATATTTGAAGCTGCCTGACTATTCGTGTTCATTGAAAGGCTGCGGTTGTCGATAGCGTCGCGAACCACAGCCTTCAGGTGAGAAAATGCTTTATCATGCTGCCTATGCAAGATGGGTGGATGTTGGGCGCGTTCAGGTGCATTGCGCTACCTATTGTCAGGATTCAAAACAATCAAGTCCGGTATTTAGAGCTGCGGGTCACCTTTATCTTTTTATCATTACCAGTTGATGCTGGGGAAAAGACAGACTTCCTTTTCGAAGGCATGTTAGGGGATTTGTGTACAAGCCAAATATTGTGACTGCATGGATCATTTCGGGTTTGGAAAAATACCCTGGTCACGTGGTGTGGCTTCAAAAGTAGATACGGGGTAGAGTCTTAGGCGCAGTTTGTAACTCCATCTCAGTGGCTATTGCCCGATTGCCCAAGATGGCCACCCAATACAGCCGAGTATTAGAGCTGGCAAAGGTACGCTGATTCAGGAAAGATATGAATTGTGCCAACGATATTTGCTTCTTTCCTACCCTCATCATACTTGTGGACTTCAACTCATCTCTCGTCAGGTCCAGTGCCGGATCTTCTCACTAAACTTCAATCCGGAGAGGCTACGCCTGGGAAACAAGGTCCTACGTCAAAGACTGCGCGGTCCGAGTCTTTCGGCATGGTATCCAAAGAAAACCGTCTCTTTCCGAGATTTGCAAGCCACATACAAGCCCCTGGGCTTGACAATGTTTGATGAAGGGGAAGATGATCGGGAAGAAGCCATCCAAATGTATGTTCCCTGACAATCCTCTGGAACCATTCTTACCGGTGTCAACAGTGCCAAGTTACGAGGGAAAGGTAGACCAAAGAAAAAGAGAACCGCCGCAGGTAAGTCTTACCAACTTGATGGCTGCATTATGCGAGAGACACGACCTCATTCAAAACCACAGAATCGCGGTCCGCCAAGAAGAAGAAATAGTCTACCATTAGCACATATCGCAGATTGCACGTCTAGATCATTGGAACTGAGACATCCTGTTTACCTTCTGCCGTGGTATAGGCATGGCATCGTTCCGAGCCCGGTTTATTGTAAATGATTGCATGTGTGCTTGATCACTGGACAAAACACTGAAAAGACCCAAATCACAAACACCGGGCCTCTGGGAGTGGTCTATGTAGTCGACAATAGATGTTCAATAGGTCAATCACACTTCCAATCACAAACCCCATACATCTGAAGTTTTGGCGCAGCGCAGAATATTGCGGCTTGAGATCCCAGATCATATCTGGTCTTTGCAAATTGAATGTCTTGTAGTCCCAGGAACATATGCATTAAGCGTACAATTAGAATCCCTACCTAGACTACCTCTTATCCGAGAGTGAAAATGCCACGTGATTCTAATCGCGTTAGTGGCTGGAACACCTCCGGACCACGCAACTTCCTCGCCGCCCTGCTCCTAGGCACGAGAACCTAGCCTTTTGACCTAAGTACCATTACTACGCCATTCACACAGCTTTTCTAGCTTATCGGTCGCATTCCTTTGCAGGTTACTGCGAAGCCAAGAGAAGTACAACCGAGTGTTCCAATCATACTGAAGCCAGCCATGAAAGCCAGTAAAAATCAGCTGAGAAGAGCAAAGAAGAAAGCTCTGAAGTCTCAGGTACGTTCTCAGTTCAAAGCCTAGCAACGACATTGTATTGATTCGCGCTTTGTACAGGCTAATTCGACCGAGATTATCCGCGGCACGCCTAATGGGCAATCTGCGGGCCATGACGACCCTTCGCTCCCTGGACCCGAAGTTATTTCGCAAACCTTTCAGAGTATCATAGCTTCGGCGAGGGATGATTCACTGTGGCATTTGTATAAGGACGTCATTGGCAAATTTGAAGACTCCGAAGATGGAAGATCGGAAACAAAGGAGCTTCCCAGACCTATTATTTATTTCGATGACGATAATGAAATCCCGGACGAAGAGGCCAAAGAGCCTATTCTGTCAAGACGAAAACGGAAGGAGTTGAACAAACTTTCTGTCGCCGAATTGAAGGCAATGGTTCGAAAGCCAGAGATTGTTGAATGGACGGACACATCAGCGCCCGATCCACGGCTGCTTGTTCACCTCAAATCGCATCGAAACGTTGTTCCTGTACCAGCGCACTGGTCATTGAAGCGAGAATATCTATCCTCTAAACGAGGAGTTGAAAAGGCTCCGTTTGCATTGCCGAAGTTCATTCAGGAAACGGGGATATCTGAGATGCGTGATGCTGCTTTAGAGAAGCAAGAGCAGGCGACTTTGAAACAAAAGCAAAGAGAGAGGGTTCAGCCGAAGATGGGAAGGTTGGATATCGATTACCAAAAGCTCTATGAAGCATTTTTTCGATTTCAAACAAAGCCAGAACTCACACGTTACGGGGAGGTTTACTACGAGGGCAAGGAATATGAGACTAATCTAAGACATCTTCGGCCTGGAGAGCTTAGTGCTGAGTTAAAAGAGGCTTTGAATATGCCCCCGGGTGCTCCACCTCCATGGTTGATCAATCAACAACGTTATGGTCCACCTCCATCCTATCCTGCTCTCAAAATACCAGGTCTGAACGCTCCCCCGCCTCCAGGCGCGATGTGGGGATATCACCCGGGTGGATATGGAAAGCCTCCGGTCGATGAGCATAATAGGCCCCTCTACGGTGGTGACATCTTCGGTGTTCTGCAGCCTCAGCAGGCTGTCCAGCAGGGTGAGCCTGTGGAGAAGGATCTTTGGGGCGAATTGCAGGCACCGGAGTTAAGTGATGATGAGAGCGATGACGATGAAGAAGACGCAGCTAGCAGTGTTGGGGATGGTGATGAGGATGTGGACACGGGAATGCAAACTCCTAGTGGTTTGGAGACGCCCAGTGGGTTGACATCCGCTGTTCCAACGGAGACAGGCGGCCCTGAAAGCATTGCTGGTGAGTTCGACGTGCGGAAGCATTATCGAGGAACTCAAACAGAGGAATCCGCGGCCCAGAGAAGCGCCTTCCAGATTATCCCTGAGAGGCAGGCTCATGTCCAGGGATTTTTTGGGGCTGATAGAGTCTATGATCTTCACAAAACCTCGGACAGCCTACCGGTTCTGGGATCTGATGACAGCACCAGAAAGCGGAAAAAGCCGGGTGATGTCGATGTTTCTTTTGACCCAGATGCTTTGCAGACGGGAGACGGAATGGGGCAGGCTGATATCAGGAGACTCTACGAGTCACAGAAGCATCGCGACATGGACCCTGGGTGGAATTTCCAGGAGGACTTGAGTGACATGATTGCTCATGAGAGTCGTAAAAGGCTGAGAAAAGAGGAAGAGAAACGTAAGAGATAGAAGGTACATTCTAGTACTTAGTCAGGTCATAGAAGCAGGGTGACTGAAGCAGACTCCACTGTTCCACCATTGCGAGTTCTGCTGTTCTCGACCTGGTGCTCTTATCAGTTGCTGGAATTAGATGTTAAGCTATCCTGGACTCTCTGTTTTTACTGTTAGGCGAATCAACTAAACCTTTTCCTAAATTATAGATGTGAGATACTATACTTTTCTACTGAGCCTCGGCTGACTATCTCTATCTGTATATCTGTATTACAGAAAACCATGCGGCCACTCAGCGAATAAGAAATCTGGCGGCAGAATAACAACTAGGGCAATTATGTAATGGTGAAGTAACTTATTGTAAAGGATCAATATAATGTTAAAAGTTCTACCACTAGAATACTTGAAAAGACGGCTATTAATCGATAGATGTTAGAACATTGATATGAACAGATTAATATAATATATATTATACTTTATAAAAAAAATTTATATACAAATAATATTACTATATTAAGATTATTGATATTCTGCTGTCTATTCTTATACCTATAATTGGATCAATATAAATTAAGTTTATTATTGTTACAGGATGGATGGATTGTGCTAATTAAAATATATCTTAAAATAAAGAAATAACTAAAAGGCTATTTTATTTATTTATATACAATTTTTATATATACCAATCTAACGCTAGTTTAATATATAAAATATAAAATTTGAGATATTAAGTAATATTTAAAGCTCGGCTTTATATCAAAATTTTTGTTTTATGATAAAAGATTTTCTTTTTCTCTATATCTTTATAGCTTCTGTTTATATAAACAATTATTTAAGATTTAAAATAGTAGTTCTATACTCTAGTTTTTTTTAGATAATATTATAGCTCATTAGTAAATAGTATGTCAACTATATGGCCAGTTTGCTGCCTTAAGCTCACCAGTTTGCTGCCTCAGATTAACCAGTTTTCGGTGTGGATTTCCGAGTTCGAATAACCCTCAGCAGAGAAAATAATTTAAAATAATCCATTTCTATTTATTCTTTTATTTCTGTTTAATAGAAATTTATTGATTTTTTTATTTTTATATATTATTTATATGTTTTATATAATTGTAGAAAATCTCGAGATATTAATATAGCTATTCAGCTATAAATAAGAGATTAATTGCTATTATTCTTTTAATTAATTAAGTAGTTTTGGTTTAGTTTATTTAATTCAATCAGTTTAATCAGTTATTTGTTTAAGAAATTGATTTTATTTATTTTTTATCTTATTTTTACTTTTATTTTACCTCTTACTTAAAGTTTGTATTATATCTTATATAAAGTTTGAATAAAAAGTAAGATTTTAATAAAATAAAAGTAAAAATATTCCGACTTTTTTAATTATAAGTCCGGTTATGTTCTTACTTAATTATATATTAATATCCAAGATTTATTTTATTACAGTTATAGAGAAAAAGAGATTAATTAGATATAGAATAATAACAGTCTATTGATTTTAAAACTAATTTTTACTATTTCGAAGATCTAGTAAGATCTTAAAAATTAAATATTTAAAAAAGTAAAAGTTTTTAATATTAGAACTTTTATATAAAAAATAAAAAGATAAAATTATTTTTAATCTATTACATTTTTATAGATTATTCATAATAATTAGATTTTTCTATATATAATTATTCCAGCTGTAGAAGAACAACATAATAATAATAAACAGAATTCGGCTGGAACTAGTCTTAATTAACTATAGTTATTATAATTTAATATTATTTTATTTTAAAAATATTATCATTTTCAATAATAATATTAAAAATATAAAAATATTCTATATTTTTGATATTTTTGAAAAAAATAATATTTTTTATTTTAGACAATTAATATATGATATTTTATACTAAAACTATAATATTTTATAATAAATTTTTATTAGATTATTAATATATTTTTATTAAATTAAAAAAAAGTATTTATAATTAATATTATTGTTATAATTTTTAATATATAATATTTAATTTGATAAGTCTTCTTTAAATTAATAGATTTAATTATAAATTTATAAATTAAATTATTAAAAAATATCAAAAATAAAAAATCTAAATCTTTTTAAAATTAATATTTTAAAATCTAATTATTTGTGACGGCCATTCAGATCAACTTGATTCCATTAATTTAGTACTATTTTAACAAAATCTTAAGAAAAAAAAAGAAAGAAAAAGACAGCTATATATCTATATAATATTATCTTATCCGTATAAAAAATAAATAAAATAAATAAATTAAATTAATTAAATTAATTTAGATCTGAAAATCTACTTAGATTATTTTTATATTATTCTTCGGATTAGTTTTAGCTGTTTATAAATAAAAAATATTTATATACTTTTTTTCAGAGCCGTCTTTATAATATAATTATAAATTATATTTAATTATTAAAATTATAGATAAAATTTTTATTAAAATTATAGATAAAATTTTTATTAAAATTATAGATAAAATTATTATTAAAATTATTAGAATTAAAAATCTTTTCTGCAGCAGCTTTTAATCAGATAGTTAACTATTTTAAAAAAATTAGAATTTATTAAATAAAAACTTTAAATTTTTTTTAGAAATATAAAAGTATTTCTTGAATTATCTGCAGAATATTAGATATAGTTTTTTTTATTAAATTTTCTTATTTTATGTAATATATTAGTCGTTTCTAATATATATAAAAGTCTAAAACCTATTTAATTTTATGTTTAATTTTACTATTAATTTCGATAGATTTTATTTAATTTTAGATTTATTCCAATAATAACTCTAATTTTATAATTAAATAAAGTTTTTTATATAAAATATGAAATAGATTTTAATATTTTGAAAAAATTTAATTTAGTATATATTTTCCTCTTTTTATTATATTATATAAAAATTATATTATTTATCTGTAAGTTTTTATAGAAATTATTTTATTTTTAAATATTATAATTTATATAAACTTTTTGATTTATTTTAAATAAAGTATTTTTTCTGTAGCAGTTAGCTTATTCTAATTATTAATTTTAAATAATTTTAATATCTTTTTAAAATAGTAGATTATATTCCGCGCGATCTGTTCGTTACTTATTGATGAATATAATTTTCTTAAATAATTTTTAATTAAATAATAAATATAATTAATAATTATATCTAAGTTTAAATAATAATATTTTTATTAATATATAAAAAATAAGCAGCAGGAAAGTCTATTATTAATAGTAGTTTAAACTAATTATTATAAAAATTATTAATAAAAAATTAATTTTTAAATTAAATATTAATTTATATTCTCCGTCTGTCTGTTAATTTAAAAATAACATCCTATAAAAAATTTTAGTTTAATTTAAAAAATATAATAAAACTTCTATTAAAATTTTAAAATAAATTAAGATTTTTCATTAAAAATAATAATATACGAAGATCCTATTTAAATAGAAATAAATTTAATAAATAAATAAACTAATCTATTTTTATATATATTATATTATATTTTTAAATATTTTTAAATAATATATAAAAATCTATAGAAATATATTATTATAATTAGTGGATTAACAGTAATTAAAATTATTTAAATAATTATTTTTATTTATAATTTTTATATTTATCAATTATATAGTTATTTAAATATCATTAGATATTCTTATATTATATATTTTAATAATAATATTATTTAATTAATTTTAAAAATCTTTATCTATTTAGAATATACAGTTAATAACTAATAATATATTTTATTTAATAATTCAATGTATAGATTTTTCTTATTAAATATTATTAAATATCTTTTATATAATAGTAATTTATTTTAAAAAAAGTAAAAGTTATTTATTTAATAGTATTTTTTTAGAATTAATTTAATTAATTTATAATTAGCACAGAGGGCTTAATTAGTTAAAAATAGCTTTTTATTTAATAAAAATAATATAAATAATATAAATAGTTATAATAACTATAAGAAATTTAGATCTAACTATTTAAAATATAATATAATCTAATTATATTTTTAATTATTAATTTATTGTTTTTTCTACTATATAAATTCATCGGCCAGTATATTAACTTTTTTAAATTAATATTACATTTAAAAATAATATTTAAGTAAAAATTCAGTTTATTTTATCTAATATATATTTGATTTTTTTAAAATTATGAAATAGTCTGATATTTAGTAATTAATAAATATTATAAAGAACTTTTTTAAAAAAAATTTAATTTTATTCTTTAGATTTTTATAAATTATATTATAATTAATATTTTTTTACTATATATATTATAATTCTATTCAGTAGATGTTATAATCTTAAAAAAAATAAATTAAAATATTATTAATTATTAATATATCAAATAAAAATTTTAATGATAGTTTTATTAGTAGTATTCGTCTTTAATAAATAAAAAAATAAGACTATAATAAATTAGTACTTATATTAAAATAAGAATATTTTTTAAAAATTTAAAAACTATATAATATTTTTTATTTTATATAAAAAAAATTTTATATAAGCAGTATTAATAGCCGGGCTAATTCATTATAATTTAATAAAATATTAATAAAAACTATAAAACTTTAAAAATAATTATAATTTATAAATTATTTTTAAAATATTTTTATTTTTAATAACAGTTATCTTTTCCGGATCTATTTATATTTTGTAAATAAAAATAATTAAATATAAAAATCTAATTTTTATGATATAAAATTTATATTTATAAATAGCTGTTTATAAACCGGTTTTATATAATTTTTAAAAACTAATTTAATATAAATCTAATATTAAAAAGAATTATTACTGTAGGTAAAATATTATTTATATATATAATTAGAAATATATTAAAATATTTATAAAAATTCTATTTATTAATTTTTAAAAAGTAGTAGATTTATTAATTAATCTAAAAAATCTTACATTTATATATACTATATTGTATCTAAAAAATAGTTAAGTCTTTTAAATTAAAATCTATATAAATATAATAAAAATCTTATTTAATATTTAGTTTTATAAATATCTTAGCATATTCTAATTAATTAATAATTTTTATTAATCAATAATAATAAATATAAATCTTTTATTAATATATTAAATTTTCAATAATTTATATATATATAAAGTCCTTCATATTTTCAGACTATTAAATAAATAATATAAAAAAAATAGTATCTAAAATTATAAATCTTTTTTTTAAATTTTTAATTATATATTATTTAGCAGTCTTTGATTATTCTGCTA